AAGAAATAACAGTAAAATGTTTGCCCAGACCTGTTCAAAAACGCTATTTTTTATTAAATGTCTGTTTTTGACAAACAAAACTTTACTCGCTGCACAGCTTCAATGATGAACGCATTTTATGCAGACTGTTTTTAAAGCAAAAGAAAACCTGCTAAACAGAATCTGATGAAAAACTGAAGCTGTTCGACATTCAATATTACATGCGGCGCTAGTCAGAGTTCCACTACAACGGAATTACTGGTACTTGTGACAGTTATACACATTCTTTGTTGTCAGCAGTACTGCCATCATAGACATCATTAATCTGAATACTAAGTCTTTGACCTTGGTATCTCAGATGACGATGAGCTTAGCAATAACATTTCGACAATAAGCTTCATTTACCATCAGTACTACAGTATTAATGATAGTAATGCCAACCATAATACCGTCTTGGGAACAATAGGTGGTGCAGTCAGCAACTACGAAAACCTGAGCAACGACACCGCAAACAGTCACAATCTTCGCCTAACAGTAAACAGTGGTAGCAAAGCTTAACCGTTAACAGCTTACCCTCTTGACTAATTCATAGTTTTGTATAAGTTCCTAGTTATTTACTAATTTGCCACAAAAAAATTTTATAAAAATCGTTTCCTGAAACCGCGCGCTTCCTTGGGGAAATTGTCGAAAAATACAGGAAGGACATCGAATATTTTTACAAGCTTTGATTATCTGGCAAAAGAAATAAAATAAATAGCATCAGGAAAAGTCATGAATTCAATTTTGAACAGTCAAAAGAATTCAAACCGACATAAACGGGGTAGGAAAAAGATTGCTGTAAATAAATAAGCCAAGTGATGAAATGCTACTAAGAAAAAGAGTCCATAACAGTGATTCGTTATCAGATACAGATATAAATCAGTGAATTTCGATGTCGGATAATCCGTTCGAGTTCCGGAGGCAAAGGCGTCAAACAATGTCTCCAGCATTCCTGATCATGTGCCAGTGGTTGAGTTTCGACAGAAGATAACCTGAGTCTCGAAACATGCTGTACGTCATTCTTAGATGTTCCTGTGGTCTTCTGCCAGTCGGCTGGACAACTAGTAGTTGCTTCGCCTTCCTTTCTGGGTGCTTTCGCAACACATGCTCAAAAACCATCGCAGCTGTGACTTCTCCACCTGAAGAGGCAGCGGTAGTACACCAAGGCTTTTTCGAATTTCTGACACCCAACCCTGTAGAGACGCGTTACATCTAACGATTTGTCTCAGAAAGCCCATTTTAGCCGCTTTTGCCCGCGATCGAGGATTTTCAGTCTTAATCCACGACTAATGACCGTAGATAAGCATCAAGATCAAAATCGACGTGAACAATGAGAAGTGAGCTTTAGTCACAACGGTTCCCTAGTTCCTCCAAGAAGCCGCTGGATTTCAGTTCGTCAGCCGATAACCTCTCATTTTCCTTCATAGTAAACACGACTCCGAGGTATGTGAACTTTTCTAGCCACGCAGAAATTGAAATTCTAATTTACAAAATAAGACGAAACAAGTATATACGTATGACAGCTTCCAATTCACAAGTAAATATCACACTGAAATTCCTGATACTAGAATTAACGGATGCCTTTCAATTTACACTGCAATGCTGTACAATGAATAGACGTCATTACACCAGACTGTAACTCAGTAATGCATCGCCCTTTACTTCTAGTCGTTTAAGGTGACCATATAAGCAGGTTACAACTATGCAGCATTTTAGTGCCTTCAGATGCAAGACAGCATCTGTGAGTTGGACTGAACAAAGGCATGTTCTAGGAACAGCAAAATGTGGCAAATATACAAAAATAAAATAAAATGCCAGTATTCGTTTAAGTATATATATTTAATATTTCCACTGATCAACGTCAACCTTCAACAGATCGAACATTACCAGATTTTTACGACGTACTCGCACCATCACTTACTTCTAGTAGCCAATGAATGACACCATTTAGCGCAGCTCATAGGTTATCTTAATGGTATTTTGCCATCTGCAATGCATAGCCAAAAAATTCCACTGCTTTGTTGATTGGAATAAAAACTTCTAGTTACATAAAAGAACATATCAGTAAGCGACGGTGTGGCGACGCCATCACAGTCAGAAGAAGTGACAAGAGACTTATTCCTACCAGCTGTAATGAAAACTAGCAGTTTGCTACTAAACCTATAATACCGGGGATAACTTTTAATATTATCAGCTGATAAACTGATTTCACGGAAAGCATAAAAAAATAAACTTTGAGGGGAAAAAAAGAGCAAAGGCTCTTATCAGAGAGCACTTGGTATATTTCTTTGGAAACAATGTCGATAACTGTTACACAAGGCTCATTCTTAACACAGCCTTGCGCGACATGAGAATGTTGAATCGTTCACAGGAAATTTAGAGTTGTTTGAAAGTCTTTCAGACGCTCGAAAACAATATATCTCTTGCTATGAGTTTATATGAGTACACCGTTATCCGAGAGTAAGAATAAGAGTAAGTACTGTTAACCTTTGTAAAAAGTTGTAAAGTGATCGGAAACTGAACCACAACGAATACTTTCAACAACTTCAGACTTGATGAAGTTGAAGAGTAACCTAATAACTAGAACGCAATGGAGGACTAGCATGACAGCAAAAATGGTGAATTCGGTCGAACCGTTTGTGGCAAGATCAGCTGACAAACTCTGTTTTAGCAACATCATTGCGAACCGCATAAAACAGAGTTGTTTAGCGATTTCACTGACGACCTTATCCAGCAGCAGATACACAAGGTTAAGATCAGAATCTGCAACTAATAACTCAGTACAAAATGCAAAAGGCAGAACTTACCATACAGTTTTTCCAGATTTCGCATTCATTATCAACATTAAAAATGTCTTCAGTCTGTGCTGGTGCAACATACGTGACAGTTACGTCTGAAAGTATTCATTCGGTCAGCTGTTCACACCCCTCACACGTTGCGGATCATTTGAAAATCGCAAGTAATTTTACAGTAAAACGCAGCAGATCCGCACGATCACTTTTAAATATTACTACTGTAGTAAGGTTGTGCGGTGGCTTCTAATGATCGCACTTTGCACCGAAGAAAAGTTACTCGATAAGCTGTTTTTCCAAAATATTGCTTGAACGGTTTATGTCTCGCAGCCGTAGTTCACAATGCTATTTCGTGTTATAGAGATGAGCCGATGTGAAGCGGATCATTGTTTGAAGATAAGGTGTAAAATGACATGAACGGTTTTGTTGTGTTGTTGTTTCTATTTTAGACAACTATATACATACACTCTTATCTTACCAGGTAAATGCGGTACCTTTCGTTTAGGTGAACTCTGTAGTCGACATCTCTCTCTGCGTAGAGCTTTTTCGCATTCATTATTATTAGTTTGTGCATATTAAATTATACATTAGCAGTAAAAGTTTAAATTTCAAATTTTCCGCCGACTGCCGTAAGTTATAAATTAGTGACCAATAACTTTCATTTTTCATGTCCTGAAACCGGCCGCTGTCGCTTGGCTGAAACGTCGGCAGTTCCAATAAAGTGTTTATGATTTGTTTCCATTCAATTGATGATTTATTGTCGCAAATTTGAAACGAGGTTTAGAAATCATGTTTAAATATTTGTTTCTGGATTCGTTATTAAGCATTTATGTATATACATTTTTTATATCATCTCCATGTTCAGAATCTATTATCTCCGAATATGCTGAGGCGCCAGGCGCGACTTCACCGAGAATATGTATACAGAAAAATGTTGGAAGCGAAGCAAAGGGCAGCGCAGGATAAAAGGGAACGGATAAAAAAATGCCTCGAAGGTAAAGATAGCATCATTGAATTTTTCCAAACAGACCGTCGATTTCTTTACTTTGATTTCTAGGAAATCTGCCTATTCCGACCGATTTGCAAAAAGAAGCACTGGACCTTCAGAACTCGTTAGAATGGCTTGATAATGGAGGCGAAGGTAACCTCACCAGTGACGCAGTATCATCTTGTATTAAGATATTTAGCTTCTACTGCGTCATTCTGGTCAAAAATGCCATCTGCGTATTTGTGTTTAGAATCTTCTTACAAGCAGCTTTGCTGAGACGATACTTGCACTCTTGTTTAGGTGTCGTAAGTCACGTGGATGATGAATACCGATGGGCAGGAGTAAAGGACCCGAAAATTGTCATATCTACCTCTAGGGATCCTAGTTCAAAGTTGCGACAGTTTGCAAAGGTGTGTTGCGTGTGAAATTTTGGTTTGTTCTGTGGTGCTTTTAAGCCGAAAGATGGGTTAGGATTGACTTGAAGAAATTTTCTTGTTTTAAAGTTTGTTATATTGTCCACACTTTTCTTTTGTTTGGCAGTTTGTTGTGAACATTATGGGTACCCCTCACTGTCAGTACGCTGTAAATTTTGTTAAAGGCCTTCGTATTGTAAAGCACAGCTCTACGTTGATGCTTCCGCTCTATCACCCCTGGCTAGTACAAAGTGGCAGTTTATTGCAAATAATGGATTTGCTCTCCGTATATGGTATGACGAGAAGCACTTTTCACAGATTAATCTGTTACTCACATTAATCAACAGTTGTATCGAATATGCCGCCGTCTGCGAGTTTGAATCCAAGATCCTGTGGTCAATCCAAATTAGTAAACTAAAATAATGTACTGTTTGCATGAAACATGTATATATAAATTTCTTCTGACTGCCACCTTTGAGATTAAATTTGAGGCGGTGTGGCTGACAGCTTATTTGTCGAGAACTCTGAACGCTTCTTCCGTCGAAGACTTGGTAGCAAAAAGTAGACACAGACGCTGGCTGCGATTATGGAAGAATTGATTCTCACGCTAATTATGGTAATTAGAAATATAGCTGAAACCGAGTATGCTAAAGCAGAAAGATGCAGAAACCTTGTTTGGCAAAAAATAGTAATATTTAGGATGGACTCATAGTTTTGCTTTAGTGTAGTTAACAAGCAGCAACTGCAATAGTACTGTGATAATATAATGCCTGAAGGTACGTCTGGAAATCAGGTCAAGCCAAGATCGTCTAGAGCGAGATCTAGACGACACCAAAATTTAGGTTTTCAGTGAAAGCAGAAGGGTTTTTGTCTGCTTTGTTCTCTCACGGCCTGCTAGTTGCTGTTGATATGTAGCTCTGACGCTTGAGACAAACAGAAGCGTTCAAATTTTTGGGCCAATTGCACTTGAGATTCATGAACCAGTAAGTTTCACTCTAAACCTCGCTTCTGTGCGTTGCGTTATATATCAGATCGGCTGACTCCTGACCATTTTCAGAACATTACATCACTATTTTGCCGCCATCATAAATTGTACTTGATGGAATATCTGCGGCGAGAGCGGTTACTTACATCTCTTTGAAACAGAGTTGACACTCAAGGAATCTGACAGATTCTGTCCTGATCATAGCCTGAGTCTAGGCATGGAGGTGCATTGTCTTATTCGAGAATAGATAGTCTGGGAATAGCGAATTACACGCTCGGAATATAGATGACGTGAATCATAGTCTTTCAAGAGGTAGGGTACGGAAGAAACTCACTGATGCTGTTAGATTTACAGTAACGTAAAATTACTCGGCATTGTTTTATATTGCTTGATTTTGATTTCTGAGATCATTTTTTCCGTCAGCAGCAATGATTTAGATACACCTTCCACTCCTCTGAAAATAAAGCCGTTTTTGATATCAGGTAGTCTGAGAGACCACCTTTCTGAATCTAGCGACGTGATATTTAAGCGCATGTGTGGCCAAAGACAACCCTTGTTTCGATTGACATGGAATCAGCCAAAAAAACTTAAGCTGCAGTTTGCCCCTTGTCTAGAAACGAAGAAAAAACCTATACCTTTAAATGGTCCTTCGATTTTGATCCACTGTTCAAGGCAACAGTCGCAGTATTCTTAACTGTTATCATAGCAGGCAACGAATCTTTATCTGCTTCAACACGTTCAAAAGCCATACCTCCGCATCACTGTTTACATCGAATTTCGTTTCTTTCTTTTATTGCAGTCAGATTTTCATTTCAGGAGATTAAGCTCATTTTTCCAAATTCGCAGCGAATCAATCGAGGCCAGTATGAAATGAAGCAACTGTTGGATGCGTGCAGAGCCAATGACGTTACTGATCTCATCCTTTTGCATGAACACCGTGGCGTTCCAGGTGACTCTGACTATTTTTTTAGCCCTATTTCGAACAGGTCGGAAATTTTTTTTCAGACAACTTGATCGTCTGTCATCTGCCGTATGGTCCAACGGCTTATTTCAATCTCAGCAACGTCGTTGCAAGGCACGACATTCCAGACATCGAGAAAATGTCTGAACAATACCCTCACCTTATATTTCATCACCTCAATTCTAAGCTCGGATACCGCGTGCGTATTCGGCATTCGCCACTGCAGTTGCCACTCATTTTCCTACTCATTTTAGGTGACTAACATTTTGAAGTATCTTTTTCCTGTACCAAAGGAAGACAGCCACCGTGTGATCACTTTTGCTGCAGACGAGGACTATATATCTTTTCGGTAAACTTCTTATACACCCATTACAAGACAACTTTCAGTGGATTAGTTAATAGATTTATACATTTCACACTAAGTTATTCTGATTTGTTTCAGGCACCATGTTTTTCGTAAAGAAAATAACCAAATATTGCTAACCGAAGTGGGACCCAGGTTTGAAATGCGAAGTTAATGCGTCACTGCTTTCAAGGAGAGATTTTCACTCGTGTGATTCTAGTTTATTGCATTAAACTTGGTACGCTAGACGCAATTAACGCGGCTGACACGGAGTGGGTGCTGCGGCCATATTTGAATACCAGCAAGAAACGACTGTATCTAACGGTGCCTGATGAGTAAGTTAAAGCCTAGGCTAAATATCTTTCTTTATTTCGGCGCTTTTAGGTCAACGAAGTAGCAGGCGTCAACTTCCAAAGCTGGGCCAAACGATTAGCCTTCAACTAAAAATTTGTGATCCTGCAGGAAGTAAACGACATTAACCTTTAAATACATTTTTTAAATTTGTCATCTCTGTCAAAGGATGCAGCATTTACACGTACCGTTATAAATTAGAGTAAGGAGACAAATTGGTCTTTACAATACCGCAGATATTCGCTAGCCTGTATTTATGCAAAGCAGATGTAAATGCTGTCCAACAAACGCGCGATTTGCAAACTGACTGATCAGAAGATACGGTGAAATGTATCCTGATTCTTTTCAGCATCTGCGTCACTCACCAAGACCTTTCACAAACCAAGCCTCAAAACCGTGAGTTAACGAAGCAGTGAGAACGAGCTAATGGCCAATAACTATTTTGCAAGCAAATATACATGGTTAATCGACTGCAAAGGCGAGAACTAGACTCTGAGTCCAACTGTCTCTATAAATGTTTTTCATAGTGATTCGCTAGGAAGAAAGGGTGGTTAAGTCCGAATCTAGGCAAAGATAACGGAAGCGAGGAAAAGGGTCCAGGAGCTATGTAGAATGCAACTACGCATACCCTGGTCAGCTCTGACAAAAACGTCATTAACCGTTTCTAAATAACCTTGTATGTCTTTTATGAAATGCGAAGCGGCAGGATAAGGAGTCATTACTTACTTGTGTTTATTGTGACAAGCGCGGCAGCTTTTTCTTTCTCCAGTCATTACATGGAACAACTGATCTACAAGTATAACAGTTAGGTGAAAATTTCCTCAAAGTTAGTTGACCAAGTAGCTCCGCTCCATCACCTAGCAGTATTCAAGACAGAGGAAAATCGCCTTAGTCACGAGTGCGTTTTGTAGCCAGTGGGATATTTCGGCCCAATAATTAAGAACTCTTTCCACAAAAATCTGCCTGTACCATGCCACAGTGATGGTCGCTGCTGGTGTTGTACGGCATGGAGACAGCGGTTATAACAAAGGAGCAAGAACGACTGTTGAGGGTTAACTGGAAGGACCATGCAAGGAATAACTTCTTTCTGTTCACATCCACAGATTACATCAGTAGATGTGGAGATTAAGGAAACGGAGTTCGCCATGTTATACAAACTGGTTAAGCATACACCATTTACTCCAGCCTCGTGCGGGGGACGAAACACTGCAGAATTTGACGTTATTCAGGTGGCTGGCATGCAGCATGAAGGAACAAGATACAGATATGCTTTCTATACAAGAATTCTTTCGAGATAGGAGTTGCTCTTTCTACACTGCAAAAACAGTGTCTTATAGCAAAAGCGTTGAGAAACTGCGATACAGTAGACATCACAATTCAAATAAGTTCTTCTTATGCAAATGGTTCAACTTGAGGAGCTTAAACGTATTGATTACATATGTGGTAACAGGCAAAGTTACGAATTTTTCTATGTAAGCCAGCAAAAGTAATGCAAAGAATATTATTTAGAACGAAATGTCATTAACAGACTAATGTGGAAATTAATTGGCAGCAAAAGCTGGTAAAAGAGCGCGAAAATTTGTATTGTAATATTAAAATCGATGTAACGTTGGTTGACTGTCATATATATCGGTTGTTATTGGTAAAGAGGATCTTCTGACAGAGTAATCTTACGGGATATAAATTAGTACTCTACAACAAAAGTTAGGAAGAAACTCGAACTTTGATAACAAGAATCAATAACGAAAGCACGTGCCTGAGAAACTACGTACAGAAATAGCATACTGGCTTATCTTATATTTTGATTATCGCGAACAAGCTTTTTGTACTTTTCATAAAGTTGTTACTGATTATTATCCATAAAGAAAGTGCGGTTGGTCGATGATTCGATGATAGTTCGAAACAGCCATTCGATTACATATCTTCATGTGTAAAAACCTGTGCACAAAACTAAAACCATCACCGTAAGTATAACAAAAACATAAATAAACAAACGAAC